ATATTTCACAGTCATATACTATTTGTTGTAGAATAGTAAAACATTCTTTGTCCTTATTTCCTGAACTGTGAATGAGCCTCTGTAGCCTGTCTGCCGACGCGTGACCAAACTGTTTATGGAGCTTCAGAAGGACTTTGCGTTTCTCATCTGGAGACATATTTTCTGTCACTGTTAGAACTTCCTCTTCAGTTTGATCTTTTTTAGTGTCTTTGTCTCTGATATCGACACAGTAATGTCCAGAACTAGTAAATTCAAGAGGAATAGATTGTTTGAACATCACTGCACTGTACTTTTCCATGTCCAAAATAGTCCCTGCTTTTTTCAGTGACGTTTTACTCCGCAGGAGTGGAATGTCAACCTTGACAACTTCTGTTTCAATTAGGCATTTTGTCAGTCCTATTTTAGCTGGTAATTTCAAATTTCTTGTGGAATATACCAAATTCCCATCTCCGAAGCGAAATGGTCTGCAACTGCAAGTTTCTGTTTGCATCAACTGGTTCACTTGATCTTGAGTGAGGTCATCAATATAGATATACAATTATGTAGTCCGCCATGGAAACCGAACTATTCTTTGTTATTCCATCAAAATAAGAATACACGTCATATGCGCGATCCTTTTCCTCTTTTAGGAACACATCGTCCAGCTTAGCCATCAGCGTTGCCATACCATTATCACTGTCTAAATCCTCCGCAGGTATTTCCATCGCCGTTTCACGGGCTCTCCCCTCAAGCCCCAAGGCAACAACGAGGGCTTGTTTCTTTTTGTCGAGTTCGGTAACCCGCGTCCAGATATTAACTTCATTTTTCCAACACTCGTATGGCCTGGTTTCATCAAATTTCGGCGGAACTTTATAACTAGCTGCCATCCTTCAACCATCCTCTGCTACCATGTTAAATCAAATAACGACGTTTACTCAGTTAACGCACTTTATTCCTTTCAACACCTCGCTCACATATCCAACACCGTTCAACACTGTTCCTCTACAACAACGCCCCCTTTTTACCCGCGCGCTCACCTTTGAACCAGCACATGAGCTACCCTAATTTTTAATCCGGAAGAACCTTCTTCCATGTGAACAGAGTAGGGAGGAAATAACATGTTAACACCGTCCCACTCTCCTTTTGCCAAACCCCCTGACAACATCGCGTCCATGCCATTGCTGAGCAACAACAACACGGAAACATGTCGAGAAAACGCTGTTCAGTCTGGATGTCAGGAAACGACATCATTGCACAGTAGGGCTGTGACGGTCGCTGTGACAATCGCGCCACCGGTGGTAATACACATGACATCACACACTCTATAACAAGCATAATACAAAGTTTTGTATACAAGTGTAATAATAGTAACAGTTGCTAATTGTTTTATTTAGACTATAAGTCTATGCTAATTCATAAATTACCTCAAACGCCATACACGGCGTTTGATCCTTTAGATTGGCAGGTTTGAGCACAGGAAAATACAGTACAGAATACAGCAGCCAAATACTACATCACCAATCTGGAATAATTTCCAGTCATGTCACCCATCCGCATTTGTACAAGTGTCTTCAAGTTCACGTGATCGCAAACACTCGGCTGGTTAGGTTTGTATTTACTGCATTCTGTGTTTGAAAAAAAAACCTTGAATTACCATTCTGAAACATCCTGTTGTAAGCGCGTTTGAGGAGGTGGTTGGTTGTCTCCTGTCATCGCCGATTCGGGGTCTGACTTCGGCTCAAACATGTAAGGCCGAACAACATTTCCCTCAGCAGTGACCATCATTACCGGTGTTTCTATTGACATTACTTGTGAGTATCACACAGCAGGCTACAGCATACATAGTTACCTGTGGTTGGCCTGGCCGTGCGTCGCTCAGAAATCAACAGGCCAATCAGAAGAGAGGCTCATGAATATTAATTAGACAGGCCAAAATTGACCTGTTCTTTGCAGAGCTCTTGAGAGAGGAGCTGTAAAAATAAATTGAGATGGTTTTTGGTACTTATACTGCAAATATATATTCTTAAGGACTGTCAAGACTTAAAATAAAACTCCAGAAAGGTGTAAAATATGTGACCTTTAAGTAATCCACACAACTTCAGTTCATCAGTTAATGTCTTGTGAAATGAAAACCTGCATGTTTATAATAAATCCATCAAGGCATTTTTAACTTCAAATCGTTGCTTATCTAAAATACGATTCCTCTATCCATAATATTGCTTTCTCTAGTGAAAAAGTTGTCTCATCTGAGTCAGGAGAGAAATATGTACAGATCAAGTACTGTTTACAAGCAAAAACAGTCCAAAAGCTCAGCTCTAAACAAACATGGTGCATTTTGACAGAAGGGATTGACTTGGGGTGGTGGTTTAAACGTCAAAACACTTGATGATGGATTTGTTTCTTACAAACAATGCTTTTCAATTTACAAGATGTTAATGATAGATATATTAATTGATAAATTCTAATCGTTTTTATCAGCTGTTGGAACTTTATGCCGAGAATCCATTGGTAAGCAAGTGATGTAATGGTTAATTTATCCAAATCTCTTCTGATATAGAAACAAAATATTGAATCGCTTGAGGGTGAGCAAATTTTCAACATATTTAAATTTTTTTCATCAACTGTTCCTTTAATGGACCTTTTTCACAAATTGCAATGATGCATTTTGACTGTTATTAACATCATAAATGTAGCAAAGGGTTTTTATTGTCTCATTTTTTTTAAATTTACTGTATATTTATAACATCTATATTTTGTAATATAAACTTGCCATTAAATTACAGAAACTAGTTAATGCTGCTGTGTGAGTGTTTCTAATACTCTTAATACTGAGGGAATTATGACAAATTTGACATCTTTCTCTTTTTACAGTGTGATCGAACTATTACTATAACACAAAAATATTTTGTGTAAGTGTTTATGTGCAATTTGAGGTGGCAGTCAGAATTGAGTGTGAACTGAGAACTGTTCTTTTTAGTGGATTGGTTAATGGTCATGAATCAGTCAGTCTTGAACTCATGAGTTATCAGTCTAATGACTCCCTCAACAACTGAATTGGATGAACAACTCAGAACTGTTCTTAAAAGAATCTTAAAACTAGTGCTGTCAAGCGATTAATCGCATCCAAAATAAAAGTTTTTGTTTACGTAATATATGTGTGTACTGTATATTTATTATGTATATATAAATACACATGCACGTATATATTTAAGAGAAATGTGTTATATACTAAATATATTTATATATAATATAAATTATATGAATATAAACATATACATGTAAGTACAGGTAAATATTTTCAAAATATATACTGTATATGTGTGAATTTATATATAAATAATAAATATACACAGTACACACACATATTATGTAAACAATTTTTTTTATTTTGGATGTGATTAATCAAGATTAATCGTTTGACAGCACTACTATGTAAAAAAAAAAAAATATATATATATATATATTATTATTTTTTATTTTTTTTACATAGTAGTGCTGTTTCTTATATAAACAAATCCGCAGTGTAATTGAGTGAAATGATTCCTATCTTCAGTCATTACATGATCTTGAACTATGAATGACATTTTTTGTAATATTTTATGCTTTGTGATATAAGGCTGCATTAAATAAATCTCTGACTGATCTTTCAGCGTGCTAAATGTTGTTTGTTGTGTATTTTCAGGAGTACGAGTTTGTGGTTCTGCCCAACGCCTACATGATCCACATGCCTCACGCGCCCAGTTTTGACATCACCAAGTTCCGCTCGAACAAACAGTACCGTGCTTGTCTGAAGACGCTGAAGGAGGAGTTTCAGCAGAATATGTCTCGGCGCTACGGTTTCGCCGCGCTCAAATACATGACAGTGGATAACAACAGCTAGCCGAGCACATTGTTCTGCAAACCGATAAGATAACTGCCATGAGCTGATGAAGGAGTGCTGTGTGACAGCGCCTTTATGGATGCGTTCAGTGAAACTGAGATTGCAGGGTCATTAGGAGGCACGGCTCGTGATCATCCATTCATTCAGGGATCCGATAACACGTTTATCAGTGGTGTTTGACAAAGGTGCCGAGAAATAAACTGCTGATTAGAAGTCATTGATGAACGTTTGTGAGAAGGCAAGCAGATCCTACAAATGGCAACTTCTAGAATAAATAAGGTATGTTGTTACTTATAAATGATGGACAACAACACTGATGCACTTCAGATTAAAGCCTTGAATCTGCTTGTCTATATATCTGTTTATCTTTGTTTGTCTATCTAGCTCACCCATTTATCAATCCTTTCTGTATAGTGTTCTCCCTCTATCTCTGTTTCTATCTCACTTTCTATTCATCCCTACAATCAGTTTATCTGTCTCTACCTGTCTGTCTAACAGTGTGTTTCGCTGTCTATCTACCAGTATCTTTATATCTACATCTATATCTGTCTGTCTAACAAACTCTCCATCTATCTAACAATCTGTCTAAATTTGTCTGCCTCTAGCTGTCTATAGCTCATTCTGTTTGATGTCTATAGAAGTCTTATCTAACAAACTTTCTGTATCTCTATATCTTTCTGTCTAACAGACTGTCTAACCATCTCTCTTCCTGTTTTTCTGCCTATATCTGTTTAACATTGTTAAACTATCTATCTCGATCAAACTATATCTAAGCATCTGGCTATCGCTCTTCCATTTTGTCTGGCTATATCTTTAACAATGTCTATATGTCTGTCTCATTATCTAACAATCTGTCTGCATCTCTCTGTCTCTTTCCTTTTAACTATCCATCTATATCTCAACAGTCTCTCTATCAAACAATGTCTATAACGGTATTATTTTTTTCTGGGCGTTTTTTTGGTGTGCCTTTATTATGATAAGACAGATCAGATCTGACAGGAAGCGAAGTGGGAAAGAGAGAGGGAGGCGGGATCAGGAAAGGTCCTCAAGTCGGGATTCGAACTCGGGATGCCCATAGTGCTGTATGTTGGCATGCTGCCCACAAGGCTATTGGCGCAGACAACAGTATTTGTTTAACAATGGCTATATTTGTCTGTCTAACAATCTGTCAGTTTATATCTGTCTAGCAAACTGTTGAACAATCTAACTATATCTCTGTCTATCTTCTTATATACTTCTTATATATTTATATACTCTCTCTTGCTCTCACTCTGTCTTTATGTGATCTGCCTGTCTAACAATCTGTTCATATCTTGTTCATACGTTGTCTGTCTTTCTTATATCAAAAAATTGCTCTAACAGTTTACAATTTACTCTCTCTCTCATTCTTATTCTCTTTCTCTCGATTCAAGGTTTCTTTCTCAGTGTTGACAGTTGTTGTGTGTGGTGAAGTAGCTGGATAATGTGTTCATTCTCAGTGCAGAGAATGCACTTTCTGCACTTTCTTTCTCAGTGCAGATGAACAAATGTTATAAACAGGGATCTTCATTCATCGGACTGGCAATAATACGTAATGAGAGGCCAAAGTGAACACTTTATTGACACATTAGAGATGGTTATTTAAGTGTTACTGACTGTCATTCTCCATCAGAGGGCATCCACACCACACTAACAGACTTATGCACTTAAATACAGGCTTAATTAACAGACTTATTCTTTTTTTTTCATAATTTGTTAAAGTTAGTGGAGTTGATGCTGATGTAGTAGCAGAACGTGTCATGGGTGTGTTTTGTAGTTACTTTGTACGCAGACTATCAGCCAACAACATGTCTGACTCAGGCTCCTGTTGATATTTTGCCTTTTTTGCCACGCTGACAGCACACAAACTCAACATTGCCGAGACATCTATGTATTAGTTCTCATATGCCATGCATCTCTAAAACGTTTCCTGTCTGATGTTATACTGACATTCAGCAGTTTATCACATTTATGATTGTGAATTTTTGTGAACCAGATATTTGGAAGATGTTTGTACACAATATTTAGAACTTGCGTTCTTCAACAGGCATCTCGGCAGCGTACATGTGTATCAATGAAGTGCTTTTAATAGGCTACAGTCTGTGTTGTGTGCATTACAGTATGCCTATGTGAGATCATCTTTAGAAGCTGACCTCACCCACAGCACTGCTGCTTTATTTTGTGTTATTTTATTGGTTGGAACGGACCATAGACCGTTCATGCTAAGATTCTATAGAGCCCCTTGTGGCAAAGCTGAGAACGCACTTGCACTTGCATTGCATTACCAATTGCATTGTGATAATTTTTGGAAGAAGTGTTTGTTTACATACTTGCTTGGAGTAAGTTGTGGGCCTAATACGAGCAGATAAAAAAAAAAAAAAAAGAATCTGTGAAAACAACGCAGTGAATGCTACTCATATTCAGAATTACAGGTCCATTAGAACAGACCTGGGCTAGTTGTCAAATTCTTTTCTTTTTCTTTTTTTACTTTAGTGACTATTTCTCAGGGTGGGTTTATTTTTAAAGTCAGTTTCTGTATAGACATAAACCATAAAGTCTAGAGAAAGCTATTATTAGCTACTATATTTTCACCGGTACTGTCCTGGAAACAAAAACAGTTAAAATTCAACACAGATTCAATACAGGGGCATGTTGTCACACTGTATGAAGTAATGTGTTAGGCTGATAAATGCCTTTTCTTCTTAAAGCATTTTTACACACATATACACACAAAAACCATTAAAAAAACCCTACAAATGTCATTGTACTTTTGATTTTACTTGTTCAACCTGTATTACAAAATTACAATATTCCCTGTGACAACTAGCCCCAGTCTCCTGTATTTACTACTGAGAAGTAAAACCAGCAGATTAAGTTAATAATGGACAACATTTATGTGTGACCTTTCTGAAGTAAAATCTTCTGAAGGATACTATGTTCCAACCATCCAGTTTGTTTTGCATTCAGTTGGAAACCGTCCATGTCACTGTACTAAATAAAGTGCTGATATGTTCTGATGTGGAAGCCTTATGCCCTTCTGTGCATACAAGTTTCATAGGTGGCAGTGTTACTACTGATGTTCTGAGCGCTCAATGAGATGGTTGCTTTGAGCGGTGTCATTATTTTTCAGTATTTTCTGAGGTTGTACGTGAGTACTGATGTGCTGAGCTGTATGTGCACACTAGCTGATTGATGTGTGTGTGTTTAATATGAATATAAACAGCCACATGTCCAGGATAACACTGATAAAACTGCTTATGAATTAAATTGTGTCATGTCTTTGCTGCTTATTTTACTGTCGCATACATGATGTTACATTGCAAAACAATGTTTTTCAAACAAATGCAGGACACCATTTGAATATTTCAAGTCAAGTCAAGTCACCTTTATTTATATAGCGCTTTTAACAATACAGATTGTGTCAAAGCAACTGTACAGCATTAATTAGGAAAATAGTGTGTCAATAATGCAAAGTGACAATAGTAAACACTCATTTTTCAATTAAAGGCAGTTTATCATTGAATTCATCAATAACATCAGTTATGAATTTTAAATATAATTGGAAATCACATAAGAACTATTTATTGTCAGCTAATTAGAAAACAGCAAAACTCAATGTCGCAACAATAGACTGTAAATTACATTCTAAATTCTGCCTTTAGAATTTTCTTATAGTATTTCTAAATACAAATGCACTTTAGAGAGAACATGTTAGAGAAAACAGACAATTTAATAGAACATTATAACAAATATGAATATAGTTGCGATGTTATAAAAAGGGACATTGTGGTTTATTATTATTTAACAGAAAATGCTTAAAGTATGCCAATCACTACTATTATTATTATTAGCAATATTGATAACTATTAATAACTATGTATTAATATTTATTAAGCCTGTATACCAAACACATTCAGTACATCTAGCAAACTATTAATGTAATACAAGGTTCAGACACAAGAGGGGAACACGAGCACAGAGAATCTAAATAAAAACATGAAAGAAATGTCATAACAGTTTCAATTGCCTTTTGTTTGTTTTTTTTTTATTGCAAAAAACATATACAATAAGGCAATACAAGATCGTAAGAAGATCCTCAAGAACAGAGCACCAATCCAAATGAAAAAAAAAAAACATGAAGAGAGAAAAGAAAGAAAGAAAAAGAATGACACAATAGGGTCTACTAATAATTTAAATTTCTGCAATAAACCAAACAGTCTCCTTCCAGATTTACATTTGAACATTCTTACAGATTTACAGTACATCCAAAATTCCTTTTGAAAAACAAAAAACAATGGCTTTGTTTTAAGGCACTTACATTTATGAATATAACATTTACCCAAAATGAAAATATTATTCAGTACAACTTGAGTATGTACATTTTCCGTTATTAGACCAAAAATTATATAATTTTTAGAACATTGAGAAGACAGCTTCATTGAAACTTTAAGCCACTTGACTGTATCAGACCAAAAGGCTCTACTGAATGAACAGTCAAAGAATAAATATACAGTCGTTTCAATGTCAGCATCACAAAAGGTACAATTATTGTGATCAATATTAAATCTATATCTAAGAAACTCTAAAGATGGGTAGATATCATTAAAAATTTTAAAGTGTACTTCCTTGGCATAGGTGGCAGTGTTACTACTGATGTTCTGAGCGCTCAATGAGATGGTTGCTTTGAGCGGTGTCATTATTTTTCAGTATTTTCTGAGGTTGTACGTGAGTACTGATGTGCTGAGCTGTATGTGCACACTAGCTGATTGATGTGTGTGTGTTTAATATGAATATAAACAGCCACATGTCCAGGATAACACTGATAAAACTGCTTATGAATTAAATTGTGTCATGTCTTTGCTGCTTATTTTACTGTCGCATACATGATGTTACATTGCAAAACAATGTTTTTCAAACAAATGCAGGACACCATTTGAATATTTCAAGTCAAGTCAAGTCACCTTTATTTATATAGCGCTTTTAACAATACAGATTGTGTCAAAGCAACTGTACAGCATTAATTAGGAAAATAGTGTGTCAATAATGCAAAGTGACAATAGTAAACACTCATTTTTCAATTAAAGGCAGTTTATCATTGAATTCATCAATAACATCAGTTATGAATTTTAAATATAATTGGAAATCACATAAGAACTATTTATTGTCAGCTAATTAGAAAACAGCAAAACTCAATGTCGCAACAATAGACTGTAAATTACATTCTAAATTCTGCCTTTAGAATTTTCTTATAGTATTTCTAAATACAAATGCACTTTAGAGAGAACATGTTAGAGAAAACAGACAATTTAATAGAACATTATAACAAATATGAATATAGTTGCGATGTTATAAAAAGGGACATTGTGGTTTATTATTATTTAACAGAAAATGCTTAAAGTATGCCAATCACTACTATTATTATTATTAGCAATATTGATAACTATTAATAACTATGTATTAATATTTATTAAGCCTGTATACCAAACACATTCAGTACATCTAGCAAACTATTAATGTAATACAAGGTTCAGACACAAGAGGGGAACACGAGCACAGAGAATCTAAATAAAAACATGAAAGAAATGTCATAACAGTTTCAATTGCCTTTTGTTTGTTTTTTTTTTATTGCAAAAAACATATACAATAAGGCAATACAAGATCGTAAGAAGATCCTCAAGAACAGAGCACCAATCCAAATGAAAAAAAAAAAACATGAAGAGAGAAAAGAAAGAAAGAAAAAGAATGACACAATAGGGTCTACTAATAATTTAAATTTCTGCAATAAACCAAACAGTCTCCTTCCAGATTTACATTTGAACATTCTTACAGATTTACAGTACATCCAAAATTCCTTTTGAAAAACAAAAAACAATGGCTTTGTTTTAAGGCACTTACATTTATGAATATAACATTTACCCAAAATGAAAATATTATTCAGTACAACTTGAGTATGTACATTTTCCGTTATTAGACCAAAAATTATATAATTTTTAGAACATTGAGAAGACAGCTTCATTGAAACTTTAAGCCACTTGACTGTATCAGACCAAAAGGCTCTACTGAATGAACAGTCAAAGAATAAATATACAGTCGTTTCAATGTCAGCATCACAAAAGGTACAATTATTGTGATCAATATTAAATCTATATCTAAGAAACTCTAAAGATGGGTAGATATCATTAAAAATTTTAAAGTGTACTTCCTTGGCTTTGGGGGGCAAGGGAAAGGAGAGATAACATGGTTCTTAATTTAAAAATAGAGCTCTTGGGAAAAAGATAATTCACGTTATTTCGACTAGCTTGATTTGGAAATTTATCTTGGGTCAATAAAGTCCTTATTAATTTATTTAATTTATTATTAATTTATGAAAGTTCCATTCATACAGTCAAAGTCTGTGGCCTGAATAATGGACAACATTTATGTGTGACCTTTCTGAAGTAAAATCTTCTGAAGGATACTATGT